CGATTACAGTACTTGCGTCCTGGTTCCGTGTTTCTGACAGACAACATACATCAATACAGAGGGAATCCAGCGTACGCGCGAGAGCCACCTGTTGACCTGCTTGCTTAGTGTGCGAAACATTGAAGGTGACTAAGTAGACAGGCTTTCGGGGTTTGAAAACAGACTACGAAGTATTTAAGGACGTGCAGAAGCTGCAGCTGAGTGTGATACAGGGCGAGCAAAACGGTCAGTCCTAGAGCTGGGACCTGCGGATAAAGTATTCAAATTTGGGCGGGGGAGGGTGGAAGACGGAAAACGTGAAAGTGTAAGAAGGGAGGCGTCAGCAGTAGCATGTTTTCGCTTACCCGCCCTGCTGTATGCAGCAAGTAAGGCGACCCGGCTGATGGCACCACGCGACAGCCGATGTGGCATGAGAATATTGTTAGTTGTGTAGGTCATGGTTGTACGAGGGCTGGGATACTGCCAGGGCGCCCACACCTAGACAAGAGGACGATTAGGGTCCTCAACCAAAGCCTTTGGCTCAAAAGCCTAACCACAAGGCAGCGGCGTTTGGCGTTTGCCTTTTCTACGGAACAAGCATACATACATGTTCCAACCCCCAACCTGGATTCGGTGCACAGTACAAAACAAATTATACATTGAGGGAAGACCCGCCTGCTCAAAGAAAGATTGTTGATTTAACAAAACCTCTTCCGGAACCAGGAGAAGGGATCAAACGGCTAATCGTACAAACTGATGGACAACACAAGCCATTTTTCATGATCCAGTAATGTACTCAAAATACTGAAACTGAATTCACTTGATACTCCTATCTGTGTTTAAATCCATGTAAAACCCAACAAAAGCTGGACAGTTGTCATTCCTACGTCAAATTTGGGTTTCATTTTGAAACAAGCCTTCAGTGAAGCAATAGGTCGAAGTTACAAACAGTTCCATGAAGGTGGTTCTTAGAGAGAGGGAATGATGTGCCAGCATTAAAAAAAGACTGAAGGTACACCTCAGTTCGGTGTGAAATCTAACGTCAACTGACAATGATAATTGAGCTGACCCGATTCGGTGACGGTAGGTTAGATACGGATGACCACCTTGTTCGGCGTTCGCTGCTGCGTTAAGCTCATCATTGGCCCTGGAGTTATTAGTTTATCTGGCCAATCGAGCAACAGAAAACACTGCCCCAGTTTGGACAATCTGAATGACGAGAATAACCCGCAAGAGTGGATTCTTTTTAAACAACGACCTTCTTACCAAAAGGAATTCAATGGTTAACAGCGTAGGATCAGAGCAATTCGCTCTCTGATGCGAGGACCCCTCACAAACGAGGAACTACTGTAACTAAACAATTTACTGCAATTTATTTAGCTAAAGGTATCCACTATTGGTGTTGTTCTAGTGAACAAGAAGTCGAGGCGCAGTACTTCCCCACCTGATGATCTGGTGATGTGGTGTTGTGGACTGTCAGTGTTAGGCTATTTTTTCTCCCGCACTATGACCGAATTCGACTGACGTTGCCAAAGTGACGATATATAAGGAGTCACTGAACCAGAAGAAGCTTCAGGAAAGTACACAGCCCACTCGAGACACTTCTTGCGATACAAAAATTTTTCCGTCGCAATCTGGTTTCCCTTACGGAGCGAAAACTCTGATGACTATGATACAGAAACAGACTGTCAGGCAGTTTGGTCGAAGAGAAAAAAAATGAATCGAAAATTTGATGAAAGCGAACACATGTAAGGGAACGTTCGTCAGCCAGGTGTAGTTGACACGGGAGAAGGTTCCCGGAAGCAACCTCCTCCCCAAGAGGAAACAACTCGCCAAAGAGCTGCTTCGATGTGCCTCGACATTTTTTTGTGGGAGGTAAAACCTTATTCCATAACTTGCGTCTTCTGCAGTTACTTATATAGAAACTGTGCAAGCCACCACTGAATCGGTGATATCGTACTATCTTGATGCCACCTTTTGGTTAGGTGATGACTGGTGTCAACGTGCGTCCATATGACAAAACTTGGAATTAAGGAGCCCAATCGCTGGTCCTGGAAAGTAGTTTGTAGATAAGGTGGATTGGTCGGACCCCTAAATACTGACAAGACTATTTTTAGTACATCACTGTACACAACAAGAGTAGTAGCAGTCCGGATAAATTCCTGGAAAACTGGATGACGGGTTGGATGTATGCCGTCAGCATAGAGGTCAGGCGAAAACACGTTTCGACACGTGGGAGAGACATAAAAAACCTCACACACAATCCGCAGAGTTCATCGGTAGAAACTTCTTAGAAATCAGTAACATTCACGATGTTGATGAACTCACACGTGTGCTCAATACGGAGTATGATGTTTTAGAGGCACCCCTCAAAGCAACAAATCTGTGCATCAAACAGAACAACCATTGTTCACCTGCAATATATTGGTACAGGCCTACAGTCTGTTAGCAATTCAAAAGCCAGTCCTGTTCTCAAAACTATGTGACAGTACACTTTGCGCAGAAGCATCAATTTGTCTGTATTAACGGCCACGGTCGCGCATATGCCTTTAAGCCAGGAGGATTTATTTGATTACTAGTGCGCAGGTCAAATGATTCTCGCATTGTGCACATAAAATCAGCTCTGGTTGGTAAGCAGGATAATTTTGACAGCTGAATTAACAAGCTAAACATGTCTATCCGTGTTCATCCCAATTTCTTACAATATTCCGAACCATTAAGGCACGATGCTGGGACATAGCGGCGGGGTACAATACATTCACATACGGAGTGATGTTGGTCAGTAGACCCAGTAAAACCACTCACCAAATGACCATACATCAGCCTTCCAGTTATACGGGCTTTCCTTAAGAGCCTCGCAGGCAATAACTTCCGGAGCCATCCAATAGGGCGAGCCAATAAAAGTATCACGTTTTTGTTTCTCATTGGCCAGAAATGCAGAAACGCCAAAGTCCGCTTGATAGGAGGGGAGGGAAAAGAAAACCACGCCCGATAAGACAGCCTTATTCTTGGTGGATGGAAAAGATGAAGGAGACTAACTCGCAAAGACAAAGCTCGGACCATTTAAACTCCATGTCTAGGTGCACAAAACACCGATCGTGTAACTGACGTTCGATGTATCCACTGATATGCGGCATCACTATTTTCCCTAGGTCATGCAAGACCAGGAAGAGCTGGAATATATACTAACGTTTTAGATCGTCCAATCCACCAGCCAAACAGACGCAGCAGTCTCTTGGGAGATATTGGTGTATAGAATGATGTTGTGTATCTGGGTGCAATGATAAAATAAATACAATCGTTCAGCTGTAACACCCTTTCGGTGAATAACTGCCATGCCACCCAAAGGAAGCTGGGATATTGCCAGGTTGCCCAAGCCTAGACAGGGGAAGTCGAGAGACAGAGGTCGGGTTCGAACCAGGGCCTTCCGTCCATTAAATTCGCGCTCTAACTGCTGAGCGGTCTCGCCTTTTGGTGTATTGGCTTAACTGCTATAACTGACTGAACAATCACACAGCGATAGCTTTATTGCAAAGATTTGAATCCCATGCGCTTTTCATACCGTATCCGGAGACAGCAGGTGAGGACGTGCTGAAAAGAATCCCGTTCATTTTGCTAAAGAGCTTGTCTATCCCTTGGAAGCTGATGCAGCGGTAAAAGACCATTTTATCTAGGCATTTAGTCTCTACAAGCGAGCAAACCAGAACGATAAGGAGACATGAACGACAGCACTAAGTGGTGAATAGAGGCTGATGAGAACCATGGTTCAAAAGTGGAAAAGGCACCAACTTCAAACCCATGGGTGTGGTTTATTCATTGAAAATATGATCAGTATCATGTGGAATTAGGTAAGTGCTGATAGTTTGCAACCGTACAATAATGAAAATCCCTTAATGGTAGATATAAACTGGAAGAAAGGGTGAGAACTAGAACCAACCCAATACTAATAATTGGCACAAGACTCCGCCCGAATAGTGACAACTCGGTAGACCTGATCGAAATAGTCCCTTCAATGGGGGTTCTTATTCGGACAGTGGTTCTTGAATCAGCTAGTTTTTAAGGATTTGCATTCCAAGGTGCTTCCTACTGAGTCAAGCCCACCTGAGATATGATGCTGTTATCATAGCTGAGGTCTCCCAGGACGTAGTTGAGGCCGTTGATATATGCGCTTGCCAGCAGGCTGTCACTGGGGAGCACTGCCCGAACTGCGTTTCTGAACTTGAGCAACCCGCCTTTACTGGTGTCAGTGCTGTGTTGCCAAGTACATGGATGATTTATATGGGTATCAATCAACTGTGGATGCAGGTGATC